AACAAATAAAAATATAAAGAAATAATTAATAATAATGTAATTAAAAATATTAATAATCTAAATTTGTAATTGTGATATACATGATAATCATCCGAGTAACAATATGCTAAATCTAGATGTATTAAATACATAATGATCATCTATATATTCAAAGTGAAAATGATTTTCTTAAAAATGTAATACAAAGCTAATCTGTTATACAGATAGTATAAAATAAAGATCTAAGTTAAAAGAGATTTAAAGAAAGATAATCCAATCAAAATTATTACAACTATTAAATTTTAGTAATTTTTTATAATTATCTTCTAAGTATATAAATTTTATTCTTTCATTTTAATGTGAGAATTCTTTTTAAAAATCTCCTATATTAGTAATCTTAATCTTGAATTTAGAATAATAATTCTTTGCAAAATAACTAGATTTTTTATAATTATAGTATATGTTTTTAGATTTATTATTTTTTTATTAATTATTATTCTTCTTATTATTATAATAATTTTTTGCTTAATTTAATTTTATTAATATTAAACTATTATTTTAATAATTTCTGTACTGATTTTGCAAGTAATAACTATTATTATTATATCTGCTTGATAAATTTAATAATTTATCTTGCCTATATATAGTAATATTATAATATATAGCTAACTTTCAAGCTTTTTCTTAGATTTCTGATATTTAATAATTAATCTCTATTTTTGTAACTGATTTAAGATTTTTTATAAAATAAATAATTTAATTTAGATCACTTATATTTATAACTTGACTTATTATATTTCTAAATTTTATATTATAATCTTATATAAATTCAGTTTGATAAAAAAGATATAATTATTTATAAAAATATTACTAATAATATAAAAGACTTTTCTAAGTATTATAATAAATATTTATTAGTTTTCAAATAATATGATATTATTATTTACTTTATATTTATTGAAATATCAATATAAGATTATATCAGTTAAAGAGATAATAATATACTATATTTAAATTTTTTTATTTATAATTTCTTAAACTAAAAATATAGTTTTTACTTATATTATTCAAGCAAATATATTTTCATTTAGCTTTTCTAAGTATATTAATATTTTAATTAAAAGATGAGATAAGAACTTGAGATTAGATAAACTATCTTCTTTAACTGATTTGATAAGTTTAGTTATACTTTGTATAAATTAATCAAATTACTTAGTATTCATTTTGATAATATTGAATTACTAACTAAAATATATATATATATAAAATATGTATATGTAAAATATAAAGTATAAGATATTAGAGAGTGATACTTATAATAATCATATTCACTATTATCAAGTTATAAAATTATTTTATTAATAGTTATAAATAAGATAAAATATAATATGAATAGCTTTAATTTATAAATTTATGATTTTATTATTTAAATAATATTCAGATTTGAAAAATAATTTACAGAATATATTTATAATAAAATAAAATAAACATAAATATAAATAAATTAATAATAATTTATAAATAAAATATATATAAGTTAAACAGAATTAATTAATTTAATTTGTATTTTTGAAGAATAATTAATTATAATTCAATAAATTATAAATAATATAAATAATAATAATTAAAAAAACAAATAAAATTATAAAAGAAATATTAAAAAAATCCAATTAAAAATATAATCTGGTACAAAGTGATTCATACCTCAGTAAAAATTTAATAAAATTTTTTTTTACATATAACTTTTAACTTTTTATTTTTTTTTAACAAAAAAATTAATAGATATTCAGATTTATTATATTAAAAAATTATGTCAAAATTCATTATTGTCACCAAGATTGTCATTATCATCTGTTTCATTATTTAATAAAATCATAATATTATCTAACTTCCAATATTTTTTTGCTTTTGCTAATGCTCTTTTCCAAAATCTAACTATTACTTTTAATATTATTTTTTCTTTAAAAGTATATAAAAGCTTATTTCTAATATCTAAAAGATTTAAATATGGACCTGACTTTGCTATCTCATCTTTTACTATGGCTCAAATATTCTCAATTGGCTAAAGTTTATAATGATAAGAAAAAGTAAAAAAAACTTGATGACTATATTGCTTGATTATTTCAATATACGTAAATAAAATCTTTTTCTTGTTTTTCTTAACAAGTTCTAAAAACTCAGGTCTATGTAGTCTATTAGAGAAAGAAATTTGGTAAGCAGTTAACCAGTCAGTTATTTCTTTTTTCTTGATGACTGAGATTGGAAAAGTTTTTATTTATCACTTATAATAACATGTATCATCTATATGAATATTTGCTAGGCCATATGTTTTACTTATTATTTTGCAAAGTTTCATAAAAAGGTCTTCAAAATATTAGTATTAAAATTTCCATGATAGTTTACTTGATTGGAAATAATATTGGCATTTTTTATAATATCTGGAATATCATCCTATTCTTTGATATTATTTCATTATCATCCTCAAGTTCTGGAAGATTTTATTACTAGATCCCAAATGTAAATAAAATTTGGAACAAGTTCATCATGTATCTTATTAGTGTCATCATTTTGGAAAATAATAATTGAACCAAAAATTATTATTAATAGACCACATTCTGGTATTAAAATAATACTATATTGAGAAATCCACATATTTTGTGATATATAATATAAATAATAATATAACTTATCAAAAAAGACTTTTGGAAGGTACAAAATATCATTATTATCTTCTAAGTTAATAAAAAGTAATGAATATAATAATAATAAAATATAACATTATTTAATGACTCATGAAGAATATTTCTTTATTCTTCTTTGCTATAATAGTAGTCTAACTGATATAATATTTTGAGAAATTGTCACTTGAAAAGTATATAGCCATATTCAGAGAGGAACTGCTATAAAAAAGATATGGAAATTTGGTGTCTGGTTCTATTACTATCAGTAATATATATATATAAAAGTAATATAATATTTTCATCTGATTTTGATTTAGGAGATTCAAGATTTTGGTATGCTAAAAATGTATCATTATTATGTCAGTTTCAGTTAGATAATACAATTCCAACTATACTCTTTACAATATCCAAAACTACAATAACTCACTTGCATAATGATATATTTTGATTTTGCTTATTGGAGGAGATAGCTCCAGAGAAGTACCAGTAAGTATTGATTACCATTTATTTTTCATTCTTAGTTAGTGATGAATGACTTCATCCTAGAGAAGAACTAGTTATTAAAATTCAATAAAATTTGCAAAAAAAAGTCTATTTATAATCTTTATTCCATGTGAAAATAGAATTATTTGGCTCACTACATAATATTTTGGTATTACAAAAACTTTAACTACTCATATTGAGGTATGAATCACTCTGTACCAGATCATATTAATTATTTAAATTAATAATATAGATATACATGATAATTATCTGTATGATAATATGATAAATCTAATATATTAAATATATGAATAATTATCTGTATATCCAGAATAAAATCTGTTATACAGATAATGCAAAATAAAGATCTAAACTAAAAGAAAATAATTTAATTAAAATTATTACAAAAAAGTTCAGAAATATTCTCTATAAAAAATGAGTTATCCTCAAATTCAGACAAAATTAGTAAGTATAATAAGTCTAAAAATATTCTTTTAGATTTTTAGTTTGCAAATCTATATTAAAAAATTAACAATAATCAAAACTTTACAATTAGAGCAAGTTATTAAAAAGTATATCTCTATATTTTGCATACTTTTTTGAAGATTAAATTATATTCTCAAATTTCAATAAATAATATTGAAGCAGTTTTTATTATAGCAAGCACTTTAATATCACTAATAATTGTATATCTAATGCTTTATTTTACTAAGTTTTCATTACTATATTAAATAAATCTACTATAATCTATATTGTAACCTTATCAGATCCTGTTAAATTGTTTCTAAAGAAAGGTTAGAAATTTGAATATCATAATTTATTAATTTCACTATCATTATTATTAATGTAAACAGATAACTCATGTGTTGATAAGTCTTATTCTACCTTTTGATTATAGGAAATTTTTTTATTGATAGGTGTTTACTTCAATTCGGCTGAACTTTGAGATTTTGATTGGATGTTTTTCTGTTCATAGGAAATAACTTGTGAAAAAATTGTACTCCATATATTAAGAGTAGCATCACCAGATATCGAGATTAATCTCTGATCTAGAATCTTTTTTCTTGCTCTCTTTGTCTTCTTTCATTACTATCCAATCCTTTTCTTATCTTCCAATCTAGAAATTCGTCATCCGCTTCAATGATTTATTCTCGGCCTTGCTAGCTTTACCTAGGCTAGATGAGTTGAAGATTTGATGATCTGCTTCCTCATCTGTTGTATTATTAAAGTTTGATCTGAAGTCACGGAATCGATGTTATGAGACAACAGCACATCGTTTTGTAAGTTTTCTTTGTCAGAATGATTATTGATAGGTGGTGAAGTATCAGTAGAATTTGCATTATGATTGATTTGTTTTAATTTTGAATTTTCGATCCTAAGATTAGCAATTTCTTCTACATCTGTTTTGGTTTGATGTTTTCAACCTCAAGTTTGGCAACTCGCTGTTTAATAATTCAAGCTCTGACGACATGTTAGGTGATAATTTTTATATAAGATGTGATTTATTTAAATTCTCCAGTTAAAAAAATCATGTGCGCGTTACAACTTGTAACTGCCAAGGTAAATCGACACTGGTAGGTCCAAATGCGTGGCATAATCAATTTAGTCAGACTAACGAATAATCCACAGTCGATCTGGGCATTATAAGCAAAATATGAAGACGCGAGAATACATGAGGAAAAAGCGAAAATTTTATCCATTATTTTTTTTGATTACATTCAGTATTAGGAAGTAAATATAAAGAATCTGCATGGGAGATTTTGAGATAAGAACTAATGAACCTTAAAAAAAAGGTCAGCGTGTATCAAAATAGGACTTGACTAAGTCCCGATATAAGATGGATAAATAGGATATGACATACCGTTTTAGAGACTAAACCGAAAATCAAAGAGATCGATGGAAATATTGTTGTTAGGTAGGGAGGGGCGGCATTCCGTGGTACATGCATCACAGGGGAATGTTGATAACACATTGCCCCGTACAACCGTTGCACTAGATATGGCTATTTTTCGACAAATAAATACTTATTGCATTATTTATGCGTTACGCACACGTATTTAATAACGGTAATTAACGTTAATCATGTACATGTATAACGATAAATATCAATTCGAATTACCATATGTATATATACATGTAGTAAGTTTTCTAGTTGTGATAAACTAAATAAAAAAAATGATTCGCCCACTATTCTATAATTAAAAACTCAGCAAAAACGACTGTAACGATAACGAGGTTCAGAATAATAGCACCAACTAAAAATGATACAATTTACAACGTTAACAAAAAGTATATATCCGAATCAGCAGAAACAGCATCATTGGGGAATTTGGCTAGTTTTGCTTATTTTCATGCTCTTTCTTACACAAAAATTCGAATTTATTACCAAGAAGAGAATTTACGTAACCAAGTTTTAATTTCTTCTTTGGTCAACCACCATATTAAAGCTCGAAATGAAAGAAGGTTAGTCAGACAACGAGCAAGACAACAGTTACACGAAGAAATTATTGCGACTACTGGGTTGTTGACCGCTATTGCGAAATCTATAGAACTTCGGTTAGCAAGATTAAGAATTAATTAGAATTGTTTCTCGTTTTTTTAATTATATTATAGCTAGAGGATTTGATTACTCTTTATACGTATATAAAAGATTTTATAAAAATCATAATAAAAAATTGCATTACTATTATTATTATCCTGCATTATCTGCAAAAGAAATATTTATATCCCTTAGAAATATGTCTTTTATTTAAGGAATCAAATGCACTATATAAATAATAGTGATTTTCTCTGTAAACTAATCATTGCTAGTCTCTCGTCCAACAATAATAAGTAAGCAACCAACAAATAAAATGAAAACATTGTGTTTCTCTTGTAGTCAATATTTCCAAAAATCAAGAAAATCAAAAAATTCAAAATACATGTATAATAACAATCTCGACCATCTTTTATATGACGTTACTTCTATAAAAATGCAATCACTCGACGATGATAAGGATTTGCTTAAATTAGTGTTGATTTCAAATTGGCTCAAACGTCATATCACATCGGAAGAAGACGAGATGAAAATTAATTTTCAACTTGGATATGGATTCGGATGTTTTTTTAACTTTTTTGCAACTGGTGCTGTATCTTCGTTATCAATTGCTGAAAAACGACACGAAGAATGGTCGAGAATAGAAGGGACGTTGTTATGAGTGTTAAAAGTGATAACTTGTATTATGATGAATGAAAAGAGAATTAATTGTCGGTTCTTTAATAGCAGTTCAATAAACTTTGTTCTTTTTCGAATATTAGATATGATTTTATCAATTTCTTTACTTGATAAAAAACTGTTCATTCTATACAGAACGTATGATTCATTCTTTAAATGCAAACTTTCAACTCCTGACCAAATTGTAAATAAATGGAAGTTTCATGAAAAACTGTTAAATCCGTTACAATTTGTAATGTTGAACAAATTCAAAAACACGCATTCTATTTCATAACTTTCATAGCACAAACCATTTGTCATCGAAATGCTTTTGATCATAGTCATGCTGAATTTAAGGGCAAAGATGCTTGTTTTTTGCTAAAAGAAACGAACTCGTAATTGAACTTAAAAGATTGATTTTATTTTGTTTTTGTTTTTGTTTGATGCAAATCCAGATTCGTTTTCGGTTTTATATCAATGTATTTTTCATCATGCAATTAAAATAATCACATCGATGTTGATATCAATATTGAATCAAAGACTGTAATAATTAATCATCGCCTCTTTAATCATTCTCAAAAGTGCCACGCTGTGAATGTAATGGACAGCTGTTCATTATAGGAGTTTCGATAGTAATCAATATAATAGGAAGTATTAAACAATGGAAAATAGTATTTTATTAAACTTAATGATATCGATCTTTTTCACAACACCCACTTTAATGCACATAGAATATAACGTGTGTATCAAATAGATTAAGGAGAGAGAATCTATATGTATGTAATTAAAAAAGAACAATGGAAATATATTTATTGTAAATTATTATATAAACGCACAGATTTACAGAACAGATCACCCGAGCCTAGTATAATAAATTTCTTTCGAGATTATAAAAATTTAAGTCTGAAGCAAGAGGGAACGAAAAATGCAACAAACAATTTACTTCTCACAAGACCCATCATCGTCGACACATTCTTTCTCACATGTGTCGCGACAAAAACGTCGAGTCAGTTTTGCCTATATTTACAGCGTGTCCTTTCTAAAAATGCGGCAACTGTCTATTGACGAAAATCTTCGTGATGTTGTGTTGATCTCGACTTGGCTTCAAAGACATTTGACCAAACAACAAGAAATTCAACGAATACGCCAACAACAAGAAATTGAGAAACAAATGAAGCGATTGGGTCTTTGTGAAGAGGACGCAGATTTGCATAATAATGAAATGGAAGAAGACGAAGACGAATTTGATTGTCGTGGTATCAAAATTAAAAAATGATATCTTTTTCATTATAAAATATACTTGTTCTCGGGATAAAACAATAAATCGATTATGACCCACCTATCTATAGAATTTATTTTGAGAATAACAAGAATTTTCTTATACTTATTTATTTTGCTGTGCTTTGATACATACATATACAAAGATTTTAGTCACTTTCTTTGGAATGTATCATTTAGAAGATGAAAACATCAACAGTAATAAAGTACTTCACCTTTTTAAACTGATACATTACTTTATGATGCAAAGTATTGAATATAATTTTGTTGCTAGTTGATTTTATTTGGTTGAATAAATCGTGATTCTGTTTTCTCAGCTTTACGAAATGTATATTGGCAAATTTATTTTTTAAAAATATTTAAAGTTTCAAGATTCAAAAAGGCTACTTTTTTCTTTTAATAGTTATGAAATAAAATTTTTTTCCAATGTTCCATTTCGTGTGGAAGCCATTGTATCTATCTTATAGGTAATATAGATTTTTTTGATAACTAAATCGAAGGTTTAAATTTTATATAATATTTAGAAAAAAATGAGAAATGCAGGAGACATTTTAATCTTGTCATTTTATCGGTATTGATTTAATATTAATCTAAATGCACAAGAGATTTTTCCTATCATCATACAAAATTTTAATTATAAGCACTAAAACTGAATTCTTTCTACATTACATGCTGAAATCGTATCCAAATGTATTTTATAATTATTTTATTAAGAAGGGGTAATTGTTATGAAAGTTTGTTTCAAAATTATCAAATTTCATTTAATTCATATTATAATAAATGTTCATTCTTGTAAAAGTTTTATTATTATAGATGGATTAATTTAACACTAATAATGATCTACATATACATATATAGTAATCAAATACGATGTGAATTCATAAAAACTAATGATGATTTTATTTTCTATAACTAATATATTTATCAATAATTATCACTGTCACTTGATGTTTCTAATATATTATCACTATTCTCTGATATATTAAATTGTTCATTATCATTACCATCCTGATATACACTTTCATTATTATTCTGATATTTCTTTCATCACTCTCATTACCAGTATAATATTGATTGACACATCATTAATGCTTTTTTTGACAATTTTTTTTTTGATTGTCTGGAGGAGTTTGTAATTTATAATCACTATAAATATAAACTAATTTAAAAATGTAATTTCTTTTTTTGTTATGAATATTTGCAAAAGCTGACCAGTTACATTCAGAAGCTGCAGATAATGGAATTGTTAAGATACATCATGCTAATTGTGTTAATTTAGATACTACTTGTGCAAAATTCACAATTCACCAAGTAATTAGATTAATATTATCAATACACATCATGTTAATATATTACTGAAAAGATCTGATTTTGCTTTATATTGTATAAGTTGACTTTCAGGCAAATTGGTATTAAGTAAACTTGTATTAGCAATTTCTGAATTTTTAAAGTTCATATCAAAAAATAATCATTTAACTTTAATTAAGGCATTTGAACATAAGTACAGATGTGATGTATACTGAATTACTAAATTATTACATTGATATTTGAAATTTTCACAGTATATATATTCTGCATATTATTATCAAAATCCAGTAATATGATCAATTTGATTAAAATATTTTCATAGAAAACTTTGAGAAGCTATAATAATAAAATATGTATAATAATAAAGATATAAATATTTATCATTATTATTATATATATATTTTATATAAATATATTGATTTATTATTATTTATTAAATATAAATATCTTAATTAGTAATAATTTATAAACTTAATCATATGTATAATTATATATGTATATTTATAATATTAGTTAATAACTATTTACATAATATATATATGTGTGTGTATATATATATATAATATATATATATATATATATAAATATATCTCTAAATATGATTAATAATTAATAAATATAAATAATTAATTATATATTTATTATATATTATATTATAATTATTATTATAAATAACAAGAATCATTTTTTATTTATAAATTTTATAAATCTTACTTATTTAAATTATATCTTTAAGAATAGATAATGTATTATATATAATAATATAATGGTAGTGCAAAAAAATGACAATCAAATGATATAATTTAATTTGTGTAATTTTTATTTAAAAATCTTAAAAATTAACTATAACTAGCCTATAGTATATATTTTGATTTCTAATACTTTGTTTCACATCCTTTATTATCTATAACTAGCTCAAGACATTTCAACATTAATCATACTAATTTTTGACATAACCTCACATCAATTTTTTTTCATTCCTCCTCTATTATTCTAATAAAAATCTCTTGTAATATGAATTTTTTTTATAAATCATCAAGTTAACTCTTTTCTCCACCCTTTTTTTCATAATTGATCACAAGTTCTTAATTAGATTGAGATCTGGTGAGTATGATAGCCAATCAAGTACACAAGGATACTGATTATTCAATAAAATAGTCATAAGCTTAGCATGATGCTTAGGATTATTATCTTATTAAAATATTCACTTGTCATCAAGAATCTGATTTGCTTGCTCAAATAAATTTTTGATCAGTATTTCATAATATAATTCATCATTCATAATTTCTACAAAAGTTTTAAATCCAACAATTCTCTTCATGCAGAATGCTTCCTACACATGCACTTTAAATAGATGTTTTATGATTCCTTGAGTTGGCACTGGTTGTTTAGCTTTATAATGAATCTGAACTGTATTCTGAAATATTTAGAAGATGGATTCATCAAAGAAAATTATAGTATTCCATCATTTTTTTTGATATTTTTCATCCAGGTAAGCTGATATTATTTTGCTAATTTTGTGAGAAAAGAAACCTTTTGTGAAATACAAATCTTAAATCCAAGTTCTTGTAGGTTTTGTCAAACTGTCCATGATACTATATTTAAATTGGGATAAGTATTATTGAGAGTCTTTGCTATCTTCTTGCTCATTGTACTTTTTTTTTATTCATAATTTGTCTAAAATATTTCTGTTATCCAAGGCTAAGTTTTTTTAAATGATCTGAATATTAATCTTGCTTTAGATCATTTGTTTTGGCAAGCTTGGCAGTCCATCTATATAATATTTTGGTAGAAAATCCAGTTATTTTTTGAAGTTTAATAACTTCCTTATATTCATGTTCTCATAATAACTTGACAAGAAAATATCTACTTGCAAGAAAACTTATATGTAATGATAATAATAATAAAAATATTTTTTACCCATCTTAAATCACATAATAAACATACCTATAACTGATTTTAGTATTATTATAATATAAAAAAAGATCTGGTGGCATAATTTCTAAAATGAAAAGAATTATCACTTTTTTTTACTACTACTGTATATATAATAATAATAGAAAAAAATAATAATTAAATAATATAATTTAATTTATATAATTTTTATTTAAAAAATCTTAAAAATTAACTGTAATTAGCCTATAGTATATACTTCAATTTCTAATACTTTGTTTTATATTCTTTATAATTTATTATTTATAATAATTTAAAATATTTTAATATTAATTATACTAATTTTTGATATAATTTCATAATTAATTTTTTTCTTATTTTTTTCTTTATTGTTTCAATAAAAATCTTTTGTAATACAGATTTTTTTTTATAAATCATCAAGTTAATTTTTTTTATAATTAATTACAAATTCTTAATCAAATTAAAATCTGATAAGTATAATAGTTAATTAAATATATAAAAATACTAATTATTTAATAAATAATTATAAGCTTAGTATAATACTTAGAATTATTATCTTATTATTTATCATTAAGAATCTGATTTACTTACTTAAATAAATTTTAGATTAGTATTTTATAATATAATCTATTATTTATAATTTTTATAAAAGTTTTAAATTTAATAATTCTTTATATAAAATACTTTATATATATATATCTTAAATAGATATTTTATAATTTCTTGAGTTAGTACTAATTACTGTAAAGTCCCAATAATAAGTAATTCTCTACGTCATCATTTTTGAGATTAATTTTTAGGAGGGTTGCTTATTTTTAAGCTCTTTAAATAAATGTAGATATATTGATAACTAATAATTCAAATCGAACGTTCTATAGCTCATCAGATTCATCTTATTGAGACAATTATTTTGGCAGTTTTTTCACTTGAATCTGCTTACTGGTTATCAAAATACTCAAAAATATTTACTGCTATATATTAAAAATTACTATCACAAATAGGGATTGCTTATTCAACTTTTCTAGTACTTTTGGATCTGAAGGGGAGGTTGCTTATTTTAGGAGATTGCTTATTATCAGGACTTTACAGTATTTAGATTTATAATAAATCTAAACTATATTTTAAAATATTTAAAAGATAAATTTATTAGAAAACATTATAGTATTTCATTATATTTTTTTATCTAGATAAACTGATATTATTTTACTAATTTTATAAAAAAAAATTTTTATAAAATATAAATTTTAAATTCAAGTTCTTTGTAACAATATTAGATTAGTTATTAGTTATTAATAATTATAGTATATTTATCTTTTATCTTATAGATTATTATTACGCCACATACTGTGTTATATGTAACTTACTGCACTATAATCACCTAATTATGCCAAGAAAAGTCATCCAATTATTTTGAGTTATTTTAGCTATAAATAGTTTCTTAGTAGAACTTCTCTTTTCTCTTCTACTAATTTAGCTAGTATATTACTAAATTTATATATTTCATTTATAATTATTTATTTCTTTATTTATACTTGAATAAGCATCTTCTGGAGATA